CAACCCACAGCACCCCCAAAACCCCAGAGGACCCCTAGATTCAGGCAATCCAGTATCCCAAGCCCAGAACCCGAAGAGGCCCCAAGATAACACTGGGCACATCCCTGCATTATGGCATACCCAAGAGAGAACTCTACTCCAGCCTCTTTACTCCCTCCTTCATTCCACTAACACCAACACAGTGGCATCTGAGTCCCTCCTACTGTTTGTGCAATTTGGTCACGCCCAACTTCTGCTGCGCTACATGCTTCACTCTTATACAAAAGGACTGCCAAGGGGTACACAAGTGAAAAAAACTTGAGGAACAACTGCTCTACATACAGTATATGCTGTGTTTTGTCATAACTTTGGCACACTGGATTAGTGTGATCCTACCCAGATAGCAAGCAATTGAGCTGCAAGTTTGAAAATGACTTGCTAAACTATTGCAGACTTGCCAAGCTTCACAATTTTGTTGCACAATTACAGCAAGTCTGCATTGCAAGTCTCCAGACCAGCGTGCTTGCAGAGCTCTTGCTAAGACCTGCAGGACTCTTGCTGTGGACTTGCCAAGCAAATTTGCTACAAATCCAAAAAGTGTCAACTAGAACTTGTGCTGCATGTGTTCTGCAAGTCTACAACTTGCCAGGAATATGTACAGCAAGTTAACAAAATTACAATTTCACCCTGCCACAAGTTTGTAGCAAGTTATCCTTGCTATCTGGGTAGTTCATTGTATTACTTCATTGCTGTGCTGTATGTGTATAGGCCAATGTAGTTGGATCTGTATGTGCGTTATAATTAATCGATTAAAACATTTTTTGATTAATCAAACACGAAAATTTGAATCAGTAACAGCCCTAGTAATACGATAACTCAGACTTGGTAACTGGGGACAAAGAAACGGCAAATCTGTTAAATGCTTTCTTTACATATGTGTACACTAAGGAACAAGGCGGGACTCAAGCCCATGATGGGGATGGCAGTGCCACAACCTCTAATGAACCACAATGGCTCACAATTAATATGGTCCAGAAACAGGTAAAATTAAGGTGAACAAAGCACCTGGACCAGATGGTTTACACCCATATGTCCTCAAAGAATTGAGCTATGCAATTCCAAAGCCATTGTATCTATTTTAAAAAACTCTCTAATGCCTGGTTTGGTACCAATGGATTGGCGCAAGGCCAATGAGGTGCCTATATTGAAAAAGGGATCAAAGTTATTACAGACCTGGAAGCTTAACTTCAATAGTTGGCAAGATACTTGAAAGATTGATAAAGGGTCACATGCACTTGTTTTTGCTTGCAAATAATATTATAAGCAATAGTCAGCACGGATTCACAAAAGACAGAAGTTGTCAAACAAACCTACTTTCTTTTTATGAGGAAGTGAGTAAAAAAAATAGACAAATGAATGGCTGTGGATATAGTATACTTGGACTTTGCAAAAGCCTTTGACACAGTTCCCCACAAGGTTCCTTACTGTTTAATCTATTTATAAATTACATAGAATTGGGGATTACAAGCACCATTACTGTGTTTGCAGATGACACCAAGCTATATAGTGGAATACAGTCCTTACAGGATGTCTCCAACTTACAAGTATACCTGAATGCACTGTGTGATTTGGCATCTATTTGGCAAATGAGATTTAATGTTGATAAATGTAAAGTTATGCACTTGGGGACTAAAAGCATGCATGCTACTCTAGGGGTAGAATATATGGGGGAGTCAATGACAGAGAAAGATCTGGGTGTTCTGGCAGGTCATAGACTGAATAATAGAATGCAATGTCAAGCTGCAGTCTCTAAAGCAAGCATAATACTGTCTTGTATTAAAAGGGGTATAGACTCCAGAGAGAGAAACATCATCCTGCCCCTGTACAAAGCATTACTAAGGCCAGTTCTCAAAACGGATGTTATGGAACTGGAGACAGTGCAGAGAAGGGCAACTAAACTCATAAGAGGCATAGAGGAGCTCAGCTTTGAGGAAAGATTAGCTGACCTGAATTTGTTCTCTCTGGAGAAGAGGCAATTAAGGGGGGGCATGATCACCATGTATAAATACATAAATGGTCCATATAGTGAGCTTGGTGCCAAATTATTTACATTAGGTCACTGCAAGGGGCACTCTTTGTGTCTGGTGGAAAAAAGGTTTAACCTTCACATACGGAAAGGCTTCTTCACACTTAGAGCTGTGAAAATGTGGAATAGACTCCTGCAGGAATTTTTTCTATCTAGCTCAGATAACTGTGTTAAAAAATCTGGATGTATTCCTAACTGCACAGAATATTACTAGATATTAACTTCATATAAGTAAAATAAACACCAGAGATTGTTGATCCAGGGAATATCCGATTGCCTTATGGGATCATGAAGGAATTTTTCCCCCCTGTTGAAGCAAATTGAACCATGCTGTATAGCGGGGTTTTTTTTGCCTTCCTCTGGATGTGCCTTTTGTCAACCTGACTAACTAACTAACTATGAAACAATATGCCATGACACCATTTTACCAATACTGTATAGTAAACAAAGTATAATGTTGCAAATTATAATAAAATTCCAATGATATCAAGTTAAAATATAAGTCAATATCTATTAGATTGTAAGCTCGTCAGCAGGGCCCTCCTAATCCTCTTGTATGGAATTGTATTGTTGGTGAAAAACTCAGAACCAGAAATAATAATATGTTTCCATTTTTATAATTAATAAATGTAATCGTGTACATACTGAATTACTGGTACAATTCCAATTTGCAAAGTACAGTTTAGGAAGCAGACTCATCAACAGACTATTTTATCGTATGGAATATTTCTGAGAAATGCTTTCGCTGGGAATAGCTGGGAATTTCTTTCTAGTCAGGAAGATATCCTTGTATTGTATGTAAATTAATGGAACATTCACTTGGTCATTCCTAGTCAGCAGTGTGTATAAAAGAGGCATGGCCCACTACTGAAATTTACTCGTACAGGAAACAGAGAAGAGAAAGGCTGCTGGCTCTGAAGTATTTGCTGCCCATTCAGAAGTTTATTCATTTAAAGTAGTGAGTATATCACTTTGAAAGCATAATACCTTCTTTTCTTTGCTTCAGTCTTCAGCATAGATAATTTTTTTTCTATCATTCTATAAATGTTTGAGGAAAAATTTTAGCAAATGTGCTACTGTAGTAAAATACAGATACTAATAAACAGAGTTGGTTGCTATATTACAGCTATTGTATCTGAATGAGATAGCATGTATTAACAGGTAGTGCTTCTATTCGGAGCATATTAGTTATGTGTGCATTGGCATTATGGGCTAATAGGCTTGATATTATGCAAAGTGCTGCAGATGACACTAACCAAAAGTGACTAGTCACAGATCATCTTGCATTATTATAATATATAATAATATAACGTTTTTAACATCACTGCATTAGATTCTTTGGCCAAAGCTGCTATTCACGTCATGGCTGGTGTAATCAAACTTATAGTATATCCTCATAAGTAACAACAACAGATGATCATAGGTAAAGAAGTGGGATAGCAGGAAGCAGGGCAATGAGTGTGGAGAAGCTACTGTTCTTAAGGTGAAAGAGCACTGAAGGGATAGAAGAGGGAAGATGAGGAGCACGGGGATCATGTTTGGATAGTTTTGGTACAAAGCAATACAAGATCAGAGTGATAGTAAAAATGAGCATTGGGCAGACAACTGGGGCTGACCAATAATTCGTGTTAGATCATGTGAGCAATATGATAGCTATGACATGGTTTTCACATGAGGTTTGTTGGTAATAGACCAGGCCTTGTGGAAAATTTGGCCCTGGCTATCAATGTGTTTCTTCCTCTGTGCACTTGCTCAGCAAGATTAAAATTTTATATAGTATTTAAGATTATCAACCTATAATAAAAATCTGAACATGGTATTCAATAAAACAGTGTACCAAATAAAATCATTATATGTAAAAGTAAATGTTATTTAAGAAGGCAAATTAGTTATAGAGTTATTGACAAGTTAATTGATATATACTAACAGGTCTATTCACTAAAGAGTGAAGAGTTTGGAGAAGGCAGGAGAAGTAAACGATCTAGGCTAAAGTAGCTGATTTGGAAAAATTCTCCAATTCAGCTCACTTTCAAGTTCAGCTACATTGTCCTAGATCAGGGGTGCCCATAAGGTAGATCGCAATGTCCCGTCTTCTCTGGATCCCCGCTGCTCTCCCCCATCTGTATGCAGCGGGGATCCGAGGAAAAGTGAAGCTGCAGTCGGCGGCGGGGGACGGAGCCGCTATCACAGCAGCACGCCGAGCGGTGAGGAGAGAGAGAGCCGCTCGGCTTGGATCTGACAGCCAACGGCTCTCTCTCTCCTCACTGCACATGCTGATGTTACAGCGGCTCCGTCAAACTGGTGATAGTAAATGGGAGGATAGGACGCCCGCGCCTCTAGAACGCACTGGAATGCATTCAGGGGCGGGAGGGGGGCATGGGGTTGTACCGCAGCCATGTCCCCCGGGCACAGTTTGATCGCCCGCACATTAGTGCCTACATAGCAGCATTTTTGCAGATCGCACTGGACCGGAAAGCAGGCACTAATGTGTCTGGGTTCCGGGTGCAGGCGATCGCACTGTGGGTGAGGGGCCTGGCTGCAGTGCCATTTACTTCAATGCACCACCACGCCCTCTCCCGCCCCTGAACGCAGGTGTTTTTTCATTGGTAGATCTCATTGAGCTCGTCATTTGAAAAGTAGATCTCCAGACGAAAAATTGTGGGATCCTCTGTCCTAGATTGTTCCCTTCTCCTGTCTCTTTACCCTTTTGTGAATAACCCTGTAAATTTAGTCTGGGCATGAAAGGCTTAATATTCTGTCAATGCATTCTGCCAAACTAACTTTTTCAATATTTACAATGTATATTGTATTTTCAGTATTTACTTATTCCAAATCAATATAACAGAGTTGATACCTTAGGAAAGGTAAATAATAATGTAATGTTTCTTTTTTTCTTGTTTCAGAAAATTTTCATTTTTACTACTGGTTTTAGAAGATGGCATATTTATCTTTTCTTTTCTTAACTGTGTATGGTAAGTGAGTACATAACAGGTTTGCATTTATAAACATAAGAGTATTTTAGGAATTGTATGTGTAAAAGGTACCAGAAGGATTATATCTAGGTGAAACTTAGCAAGCCAGTTATCTTTTTTTCTTTTGGTAGAGTAAATTGAAAAACTAGAAGGCAGAACATGATTGATTGTCTAAGGGTAATTATTGTCTAATAAGCTACTGGCCCAGTCTGAAAATATCCTAATTTTTAAGATATTTGTAGATTCAAGGATCATTTTTTTAATGAATGTTTTTACATTTTTAAGGTAGACTATAATACGTTGTTTGATGCTATTAAGCAAAAGATAGATGCTGTAAAAAAAACCAAAAAAAAACCTGAAAGCGAAATTAAAACCTTGGTGTACTAAAATGAACACTGTTATTTGTTGCAGGCTTTGCATTGATATTCTGTGTAAGGGGCTGGACCTACCACTATTCACCATACAATATGAATTATGACGATGCGTATAGATATTGTACAGAAAAATACACTTCTATGGTGGCGATTCAAAACCAAAAAGAAAATGAGCATCTGAACATCATACTGCCTTTTAATAAAGGATATTACTGGATTGGCATAAGGAAAAATAAAAGCACTGGCAATTGGACCTGGGTTGGTACTAATAAGGTACTCACAAAGGAAGCTACAAACTGGGCCGAAAAAGAACCTAACAACCTGAGTGATAGTAAAAATGAAGACTGTGTTGAGATGTATGTAAAGCGTGCTACCGATACAGGACAATGGAATGATGAACCTTGCTCAAAGGAAAAGGCTGCTTTATGCTATAAAGGTATGAAACTATTTCCAGAAACAAAACATTTATAAAGTTATTTTTTAATTAGATGTGAACATCTTACATTGGATGTCACAAAAAGTGTATCAACAGTGGATCAACTGGACTGTGCTTTTACATAAGCAAATTGTATGTAGATTGCTTTATATGTTACTTTGAAATGTTCTTTTTTAAGACATTGTAATGTATTAACAATTATAAAATGGAATTTTAAAAATCCAAAATGTAGTATTAAGAATATAGAATGTAATAAAAAGCTCATCATTTCTCATGCAAATAACCATGGAAAACAGAATATTGGATAACAATTAGTGTTTTTTGTCATTTTTTTCTAACTAGTTTACATTATTTTCTTTATGTTCAGCTTCTTGTCATACTTCTTCTTGCAACAACCATGGGGAATGTGTTGAAACTATTAATAACTACACTTGCAACTGCTATGATGGCTTTTATGGAGATGAATGTGAACATGGTAATTATATTTTTCAGCAATGTTTAAAGCTACTGTAATATTTTAATTTGGAATAAGTCTTTAAACCAGAATTTAATACATTTGTTTCCTTGTTTCCAGTTGTCACTTGTCCAGAAATAAATGGCATAGACCACGGATCAATAAAGTGCTCTCATGTTAACGGAAACTTTACATATCAGTCAAATTGTAATTTTAACTGCTCTGATGGATATGTGTTGCTTGGCTCACAAAATGTGAGTTGCACTAAAAAAGGAGACTGGAGAACTCACATTCCACACTGTAAAGGTAAATACGCAATTTATGAAACTATTTAACTACTGAAAACAGATTAAGAAAATGGTAATACAAGACAATGCAATCTTAGACAATACTGAAATATTTTTAAAAAAAAGAGATTTCAAACAAAACTTTGCTCATCGTTGTTTAGAAATTCAGTGTAAACGTCCAGAGGTACCACTAAATGGGATGATCAGATGTTCCAATGATGGAGAACTTCTGCCAGATAAGTCCATGTGCAATTTCAGCTGCGATGAGGGTTTCCGTCTAGTGGGTTCCAGTTCAGTACTTTGTATGACGCCTGGTCAGTGGACAGAAGAACCTCCAAAATGTAATGGTAAGTTCTTCTAACGTTTATGGGTTTAGTGTTATTATTAGTTCAGACACTTAATGCTAACTTTGTAATGGCTAAACTGCAATGTATGCATGCTTTAGGAAATGTTTTTAGTTTGCAAATACATATTATTAGGAACAGTGACAATCTAACAAAAATAGAACAAAAGAATTTAACAGAAAACAAAGTAAAACAAGCCTATGTGTGGGTGGGGATAGGAAGTGCTTTTGGAATATATCAATAGGAAGAATTTATATTCTTCCAAATTTTTAACAAAATAATTTATCAATTAAAGGTCCAATAAAATCTATATATTATCAAAAAATATTGTAGAAAGCTGAGACCTCACCTTTTGTTTTGCAAATTCCATATGGCAGATCCACCAAGTATTTCAAATCAGGTATTGCACTGATAAAGTCAAACCTTTCATTTAAATTTTTTATACAGTCTAAATATTAATCTTGAGCTTAAATGTATGCATTAGCATAACTATACATTGTGTCCAATATTTCTAAATTAAGTACAAAGTGCATTGCAAATTATTTGTAAACTGTATCACTCTAGGTTATATTGATTTCTAAGAAATACTTTTACAGCACTGCACATTTCTCTCTCATTACGGTTGTTCTTTTAAGATACACAGGGTTATTCACAAAAGGGTGAAGAGTTTGGAGAAGGCAGGAGAAGTGAACAATCTAGGTCAAAATAGCTGATTCATAAAACTTCTCCAATTCAGCTTACTTTCCTATGTTGTCCTAGATTGTTCACTTTTCCTGCCTTCTCCAAACTCTTCACTCTTTTGTGAATAACCCTGACAGTGTTTATTGTTACTGAAGAAAAGGAAATACCAATGCATGCACTTAAATATTTCTTCTCCCTGTTTAGCTATTCTGTGTGAACGTCCTAAGGAACCAGAAAATGGAGTAATGGATTGTTCAGACCATGAAGAAATTCTGTCATATAAGTCTAGATGTAATTTCAGATGCAATGAAGGGTTTACTTTGGTTGGGTCTTCCTCAACGACATGCATGTCTTCTCATCAATGGACAGAAAAGCCCCCAAAATGTGAAGGTAAACATTCCACTACTTAGAGCTCTTAATTTACATAGATTACATGTATTACTTTAAACAACTTTAGCTTATATAGCAGGATGGATATTAAAAAAAATATACAAAGGGTGGGGTGACTATTAATGTATGATTTTGTAAATAACTCTATGTTATGGAAATGAGCAGAGGGGGAAGGAGTCTGTAGTTTAAGAAAAGCAAATGGGAAGGGCTGACACCATTTCTTGTAAAATTTCAGTCCACAGAATCCTGTGGGATATAAGCCCACAACAAGAAATTCAGAGCTGGAAGCATTTTTGGAAGATTAACAGGAGTTTTTCAGTACTTGCAGGGTCTGTCAATGAATAAACATAGGCAATTGTGCATGTATTGCAGAGAGTGGAGTGTATATCTTTTTTATTTTGCCCAGACATACAATTATTTACTTGTGCCATTCCTCCATGTTTAGCGATTCAGTGCCATCATCCAGAGGTACCAAAGAATGGGTCAATGCAATGCTCTAGCAATGAAGGAAGCCTACTATACATGTCTTCATGTATTTTCACCTGTAATGAAGGATTTAACTTGGTGGGATCTCCTAAAACATTGTGTAAAGCTCCTGATCAGTGGACAAAAGAACCTCCAAAATGTGAAGGTAGGAATTTGCCCTAATGCTATACACTTCCAAAATCTAAATTATATATCCAGGTTAAGTAACATATACCCGTGTCATATTAAGAAAAATAACTGTAATTGGTCCAGTTATTGGTCCAGGTGAAAAACTGAAACTGAAGTGTAAGTAAAACTGGTAAAAAGGTGTTTTTAGTTTTGGATGGAGTAGGGTAATTGTGGATCCCCTGCCAGGCTTTTATCATTTTTTTGTCTCCCCCCTATAAGAAAACCCACCCTCTGTATTTGTTCCAGGTGGCTGTTAGAACTGGGGCAGAAAGTGAGGGGAAGTTCAAAATTCTGAGTTCTAAAAAGAACAAGAATAGAGGGGAAATCTTCCAAAGGGGACCCTTGTTCTGTTCATAACTGTCAAAGAAAGTATTTCCCTTATTTTGGAGAGATTCACTTTTACTTCCTGTTGTGTCTTTGGGACATGAAGTGAATTTAATTTCCTTCAATAGGGTTGGAAAAAAACTGACAGCAGTTTCAACCATTCCCTACTTATTCAAACTAAAAAAGGTTTGGGTTTTAGATAAACAGTACTTTAGATATGCCTTTGTGCACAGACTCATATTAAGGAAATATCAATGGTTCATGGTTTTTGTGATGACATTTACATTTATTTTGATCAGCTATCCAATGCAAGATCCCAGAAGAGCCACAGAATGGAACCATGAGTTGCACTGACTCTGGAGAAATGCTTCCACAAAATTCAGTCTGTAATTTCAGTTGTACAGAGGGGTTCACACTGACAGGATCCTCCACAATACTTTGTGCTCCACCAGGTCATTGGACAGGAGGAGTCCCAAAATGTGAAGGTAAACAAGATTGTTGTTAGACTATAGTACATCAGTATAAAATGAAATCTGAGGCTTATCATATTAAAATGATACACATTAGATTACAACAATAAATGATGATTATTATTATTATACAGGATTTATATGGCGCCAACAGTTTGTGCAGCGCTTTACAATATAAATACAATAAATTAAATAATAAATAATCATCATACATTAGATTAAATAAATACAATAAAATATTAGATTTATCCTGTTAAAATGGTACACATTTTCTAATTACAGTATGTCTATTTTTTAGCTGTGCAGTGTCCTTCTTTGGTGGCCCCTACAAATGGCCAGGTAGAATGCCACAATGGATCACACTATAACTCCAAATGCACATTTTCCTGTGCAGAAGGCTTTCAGGTGGTTGGATCATCAAATCTCCAATGTCTGCTTTCTGGAGAGTGGACATCTTCAGTACCTATATGTCAAGGTAAAATGATTGCTAGAACTGTAAATAGTGCCATTAGAACAAACATTATATATTGTATAATATAGAATGTCCTATGAATTAATTGTTTAAAGGCCAAGTCAAGGGCAAACCTTTTCTTTTAGTTTTGAATAGAGCATGTACAGTAAATATTAAAACTTTTGTCATTTTTGTTGATGAATATGTCCCTAATTGGATTGATATCCTCACTTGAACAGACTGAGGACGTGTTAAACATTTCTTGGTTTTACTGATGAATGTGTCCCTATTGGGTAGATATCTCCCACTTTCTGTGTGATCTTTGGGACAGGACAAAATAATAAATATCCCCAACATTGATACACAAATACTTGAGAGAGTTTATAACAATTCCCCATGCTCCCCAAAACTAAAATAACTTTTTTTTGGTTGCAGCTGGGCTTTAACATGAAAATTATATCTTTTAATTGCACCTAATACAATTGTTTGTATTTTGTCATTTGCACATCACATGTAATTCAAGAGCTACAAGATACAGTAGTAAGCATTAAGTGACTGATGGCTCCTATTTTTATATTTGTATTTAAGGCGCTGTACTAGTTAGCAGGTATCTGCTGATTTTTACATTGCAGCCATTAGCTTTTACACTACTATAGGATAAGGTCTGATTCAAATGGCCTAATGCTTCATTACTACTGTTTTCCTGAATACTGTGGAAGTAATACCATTATCATGCATTACTGTGCAGTAAAAACTATTACATCTAACAATTAGGCTACAGCATTTCACCAGTCAGACTATGTGGAGAGTATGTTTAAAAAAAGTTATTAGAAAAGTAGAATAATTGGAAAATAAGAAAACAAGGCCCACCTTCACTATACCACGCACCTTGCACATTAACTCTTTCGAACTGGTAAAGAGAAGATTGGCCACAAGTGGGAAAAATGTTAACACTGCCCCCTGTCTGCAAATGTGAGAAAGAGCTGCATATGTCATTAAAAGAAAATGTTTAAAGTCTCTCTTTTAAAATATAAAGCGAGGTGCCACTGCAGCGTCCCCTTACTAAAATGTTAGAGTGGGTTTAGGGAAGTGTGAATATGTTTATTTATAGTCTTAGTGTCTTTTTTTATCACTGTACAGTATGGATTTATAAAACCCTTTCATGGCAGCAGGAAGTTACTGCACTGCTACCTTCTGCACTTTATTAAAAATGGATTAAAATGCTAACATTTTGTGGGTTTACCTTTGCATTTCTAATTTTCAGCTGTGCAATGTGCACCTCTGGTTGCTCCTGAAAATGGAGAGATAACATGCCAAGAAGGTTACAGATACAAATCCCAGTGCTCTTTTACCTGCCAGAAAGGTTTCACATTGATTGGAGCATCTGATCTCAGTTGTTTATCATCTGGAAAATGGACATCAGCTGTCCCTAAATGTGAAGGTAATTGCCAAACTATGATATACATCATCATGTTGTTGTCCTAAATTCCTGTACATATTGGTGTGGGGCATACACTAGAGGGTGTTGCGACCTAGTGCATGATTCATAGGTCTTATATGGGGTAGGTTGAGGATAGGGACATCAAGCAGCACATCCTTTTAGAAGGGTTAACAATATGTCATGGCCATACTGAGGCTGGAGAGTTCTCCTTGAAGTTGGCAACAACAACCTACTGCATGATAGAAATAGATAGCTAGAATAGAAAACTAGACAGCAAAGGAGATTTATTAATAAAAACAAATATATATTTATATTTACCGGTATATACACTGCAAGAGAAAGGATGCTTTTGGATATATGCTTGATGGGAAAAAAAGATATGTGTAGGCTTTAATAGTTTGCAATCTGCAGCTCATAGGGATAACAACATACCGGTACTCTCTTTTCCAAACCAAATAATAGCTTTAGGAAGTACGTAGAATTTGACCACAACACAAAGTAACATATTTGAAGCCATACTAACACCTTTATGGTATAATGAAGGCTGTCCTGGAATTAGACAGGGGGGCTAATTTACTAAATTAGTAAGAAGCTGTTAACCTAATGATTTGAATGTTGGTAAATAAGGTAAACCTCTGCTCACCTTGAATACCCAATGATGTGCAAGGTAATTACCAAAAACATGACTTTTGCTGGTACCTGATTTTCCAAAGTAAACATTCACTTTACTAAGTAAACAGCCTCGACTCCTTTAGTGGAGGTTGTTGCTCAGCAACTCCTGAACTACTCAGACATGACAGACTTAGGGATCACTTAAACGTCCAAAAACCCTAACATGTAATCTGTATTATCCTTTACATTACACTTGGTTTATAAATAATGTCCTTTCTTTTTACTTTAACAGCTTTAAAATGTACAGCTCTTATAGCTCCATCAATGGGGGATATGAATTGCACTCACCTCTTAGGAGAATTTGAGTATGGATCCGTGTGCACATTTGACTGTGGGTATGATCTGTCACTAAATGGAACTAGAACTGTTGAATGTGACAGTAGTGGAAGATGGAGTACAGAGCCTCCAACATGTGAAGGTATAATATAACTATATAACAAAAAACAATTATTATTTTTAAAATTTGTCCTTTAAGCCTGATTTGTTTTGTTTAATCTTGTTCAATCTTATGCTTTTTTTTTTGCAGTAGTAAAAAGGCTGAACATTCCCCCAACATACTTCACAGTTGGAGCTGTTTCAGCAGGTGCTTCTCTCATGTCAGCAGCTGGCCTTCTTATATGGCTTATAAAACGAATCCGTAAAACAGGTAAGAGGATGGAGTATTTTTTGTAAGCATGCATCTAAAAAAATCAATAAAGTGGTACAATTTGTGTATTTAGTAGGAAACAAAATATAAATAGTACAGTAGCTCACATTTAATGATCTGATATAGGAAGCTAAACTTTAATTTATATTGGTGTTCTTTGTACACCATCATTGCTCATAGTACTTCATAATTAGTCTTGAAAGGAGTATAAGGTTTTTTGGGTAGTGATTCTATTTTGTAATTAGTAACATTTTGTTTTCTTTATCTCCACAGCAAAAAAATTTACCCCCTCAAGGTAAGCTAACATCTTCTATGCTGAATTGACTTTGAATGTATTATGTTGTTATATAAAGATTTTTTACTTACATACTCATTTATTTACAGTAGTTATCAACATCTTGAAGCAACGGGTATTTATCAAAATACTAGTGACAGCGTTGGTATCGTATAGAATACGGTAAGGAAAATAAAGTAATTACATATTTATATTAAAATAGATATGAATTTAATATTAAATAACAGAGAAAAAAATAATTTTTTCAAGATCAGTTGTAATTGTTGATTGTTTGCCTGTCTGGAGTTAATATAAAAAACAAAAGAAAAAAAAAATTTTTTCAAGATCAGTTGTAATTGGCATTGGCACAGATGTGCAAGTTTTTAGGCCCCAAAAGTTTACTTTTTATATATTACAGCATAGATGTTTGTCTGCAGGGGGGAACATACTGTTTGAATGATAGGGTTATGATTTACCTACAGTTAAGGACTAGGTTCAGAATAGGGCTAAACTGAGATTCAGGGTTTAGAGTCCCCTGCGTTTTGGGTGTTCTGCAAAAAAGTAAGTATATGTGCAGGCACAGGGAAGTGCCTTGTTTATCCCCCATCTAGCTTACAATGTTAGACAAGCCCATTAGGTACACTTTAGGCTATTAGTGTTTCGGGTCTGCTAAATATGTTTGTCGGGGTATAAAAATAAGTGCCAAAGTATCACATTTAGTAAGTGTCAGTAAGGAAACCTATTAGTGATAAAAATGTAACTGTTACTCATGGTAGAAAACTGAATGCTGAAATCCTCCTTTCAAAAATAACCATTACAATGAATTAACATAAACTGAACTATATTGTTCTCATTTAGTTTATTCTTAAAATGTTTTTTTTACATTTTTTGTCTATAATAAAATATGAATTACTGGGTGATTGCACTGTATTTAAATGTGTACTTCTGCTTACTACATTGGCTGTCTTCAGGTCCTGACAAAACTTACCTTCACTCTCTTTCGAGTCATAATTGAATAATTTCTCACTAAATTCATTGGGGAAATAAATGACTAAGCATAGCAGATGTAACCTTATATTGTAGGGCAGGGAACATACAGTATATATAATATAATCTTGAGCAGTGATTTTATTCTGTACATTTGCTTCAAATAATACTGCCTTTTGTGGGTGGGTTCGGAATAAACATTTTGTAAAAAATAATAATAATAATTTAATTTTTTTAAGATGAATAACAATATTTTTATTTTTTTATTTTTATAGGTTTACAGAATTGTTAAAATATAGAAATGTGTAAATTTCCAGACCCATCATAACACTGATGATACAAATATAGATGGAATGGTACTACTGGATTTTACAAGTCCGCTTTCATCCACACATCATCCTGCAAATGTTCACATCCAAACAGACAAATATAAACTTTCCATTACTGAAGTAGCATTTCTAAAATGGAGAAGTTGTTTTTTGCACTTATATGAATGTACAATGGAACTGATTTCCTAAGGAGTAGAACATGTACATTTTTAATCCCTTCTCAAAGTGATTGTTCACTTAGCACTAACATTCACCTTAGCTTAGCTTAGGTGAATAGTGTAAAGCTACATCCACTTTAAATACTCCTGTGCCATAGAAGATAAAAAGTCAACATTTCAGTAACTGTATTAGTAATGTTTAATAAAAACAGTACTATAGCTTCTGGCAAGTGACTTTGCCTAGGCTGAGATGATGGCATTAGTCTGCTGCAGGGAGGAAGCGTTTATTTAGTCTCCTCTCTCTTATTGATTAGACTGCAACATTGTAACTTTGTAGTCCCAATGTGAAAGGCTACAGCACAGGCTGATATGTGTCTGAGATTTGTGAACACAGCCACCAGGATTTACAGGATTATGTAATCTCTGAGCCAGAATCTCAGTCTAGGAAGTATATGCTGACCTTTGATAGTATCTAGACAAAGATGATATTATCCCTCCCATGAGAGAAGCAGATACAAACATTCTCAGGGAGAGAACTGTAATCTCTGTGAGAGATAATAAAATACCCGTAAGTGTTATTCTTATACATTACTTAGCATGTATGCACTTAAAATGAAAAACAAAAATCTAATGCTCGGTCCTCTTTAAAAGAAAAAGATTGGATGAATAAAATAAGTGAGCACACTCATTCACTAACCTAAGTGAACTTTCACTTTGCAAATGAAAATTCTCTACTCCTTCACTTATTTATAATGACAAGTCCGTTCTGCTTTTAGTATTTTGCATTTTCCTTCTATGCTGTGCTATGTCATTTGAAGTGATATGAGCAATATTTTTACATACAACAATAATTTAGTGGGAATATTCATAAAAAGTTAATTTTAGATGAAGAATGCCTGTAGTGGAAAATAGGAAAAGCTCAAAAGCAGACTAACAGTGTACCTGTTTATAACAGTTAAAAAAAGTTGTGTCATCCCTGTGGGATAATATACATTTGGAATTGTAATATTGTGTATAATTTATTTATTGGACTAGGGTCTAGATATGTAGTTTGTGTAAACCTGCATCTGAAAATGCTAGTTGTGTGGCTGTTTTGCTGATTGGCTGGGTTCAGTACTTTTTGCCCTCATTCACACCTGAACGTTTTGTAGCGCGTTCTACGCTCGACGAACGCTCTACAAAACGCTCAAACATCTAAATCCCATTGTATTCAATGGGTCTGGTTCACACCTTGACGTATTTCAGCCCGTCCCTAACGCGCTACAAAACGGCCCACGCCTGAAAAGGTACATGTACTACTTTGGGCCGTTCTTGTTGCGCGTTCCCATTGGGATACAGCCAAGTAGCCCTCGGAAACGCGCGTTTGTCGCGCTATTTTTTTACCGCGAATCGCGGTAAAAAAAACGTGCGACAGACGCGCATATGCAATACGCCTAGGTGTGAACCAGGGCTTTGAGTCAACAACCAGGAACAAATATGCAGAATAGGAAGGCCAAAGAGAAGTAATTTGTCCATATAAAATATTTTCCAAGTAACTAAAGGTTCATTTAAAATTTTGAATGGAAAAATTAAAAAAAAAAAAGCAGTCTTCAACAATTAAATTACTTACAATAGCACACAAACTTTGGAATACCAATATGTTTAACTCACATTTTATGGAATTTCACGGGAGAAATGTAACTGGTAATGCTGGTAAAAGTGCATGACCGTACTAACATTCACATAATGTAATACTGATATTGTTTGGTTCATGTAAACTTACATAGACATGCTGTCTGGAGGAGACATGAATGAAGACTGAAATATAATCCATTAGAAATAATTCCCTTTTGTTTTGTAATATTTATTGCTGGTCAATAAATAGTATTTTAAGTAAAGCCCTCTCAGTGTGGTGAGGCCGGTATAATCAGGGCCAGATTTACTCTCCCTGCTGCCCCAAGGCCCGGTTTTTTGAAAAGTGTTATTTTGTAAAAACAAATTCATATTAATAAAATAATTCAGAGTAAAAACTGTTTTAAATGTGAATTTTTCTGTCTAAGATTTATGAAATGTGAAAGCCCTAAATGAAAATTGAAGTTATTTTTTGCAGTGGACCGATTAGCGTCAGATGTTCTGCATCCTGTAAAATTTGCATGTTTTGGAAGCAATAGACCACTGACCTCTTGTGTTTTTTTTCCACCTCCACTTATGTCGGTGGTCTCTACTAGTGATGTGCCGGACAGGATCGAGTTCAGTTCGAATTCGAACTTTAGAACATCCAAAAAGTTTGAACTCGAACTTAATGCAAGTCAATGGGGGTAGAACTTTCAGAAACAATTGTCCCCTTTACGAGGGCTATACGCAAGTTATTGGCCATACAAAAGGCATGGGTGTCCGAATACTGCACTAGGGGACAGGAATCAATGAGAAAAAAAAAACGTTTTTAACCACTTGAAGACCAGGGTGTTAAACCGCCTTCCTGGCCAGACCATTTTTCAGTATTTAGCGCTGCAGTACTTTGGCTGATGTTTATTCCGTCTGAAATTCATTTTATACCATTTTTTAGGGATATATAGAGCTTTCTTTTGGTGATATTTAATCACCACTGGGGTTTTTATTTTTTACTATATAACATAAAAAGTAACCTAATTTTTTTTTAAAAACAAGTTTCCCTATGAAATGTTATGAAATATTTATTATCACCCCAATTTTTTGGTAAAATATAAAAGACAGGGTCACGTCGGGTAACTAGACACCAAACATGTCAAGCCCTAAAATTGCGGGTGCCAGCGAAATCGCAGAAAACGACCACACCCAAAATTGGCCATAGGCGACGATTTAAAAGCTTTTACCGCTCATCAGTTTAGTGTTATCAGGGATTAATGGCCCTAAAATTAGTGCTCTCACTCCAACGTTTGCAGCGATATGTAACATGTGCGGCACAATAGGTGGAATCATCGTTTTCGCACGTTGGCGCACCCGACGCATGTTTTCGTGTGTAGGTGGGGGGGCGGGGGACTTAAAAAAAATGGTGTTATTTAATATTTTTTTTTAAGCTTTAATTTTTTTTAGGGCTGTGCAAATTAACCATTAATTTCTCGATTAATCTTTAATCTTTTTGATCGTAAGCGGCGGCCATATTGAGTGGGGCACGTGAGATTAAAAACGTGCTGAATTAGTGTGATCCTAGTTCATTTTATTACTTCATTGCTGTGCTGTATGTGTATAGGCCAATGTAGTTGGATCTGTATGTGCGTTATAATTATTCAAAATTAAGCGATTAAAAAAATTTCGATTAATCGAACATGAACATTTTAATCAGTAACAGCCCTAATTTTTTTTCAACGTTATTTTTTTTTAAACTTAAAGGGTTTCTAAACCCTCAGCTTTTTTTGCATATATCTACTGCTAGCAAAAAACAAAAAACAAAAAACATACCTGTGTGTTCCCTGCGCGCTCCCTTTCGAAAATGTGAAACTGCACGGGCGGCCACAAAGCATCTTGGGGCGCGCATGCGCAGTTCACATTTCCGGCTGGGACGCGAGGAAAGACACAAGGTGAGTCAATGGACGCGTGCACCCGCATGTAAACACCGTGGGAGAGTACGTGCCAGCAAGCTCAGAGGAGTCAGCGCTGGATCGAAGATTCGCCGCAGCCCTGGAGAGATGGCTGAAAACTACAAGAAAGAAGAAGATGATCGGATTAAAAGACATAATTTAAGGTAAGTTAATGTTGGGGTGAGGGAAAACATTTTTTTGCCTTTAATGTCAACTTGATTGATATCACATAGGGGGCTAAGAAATCCAATAGCCAATTCACATAGTGGGGCGGGCGTTTTCGCCGGTTTTTAAGCCGTTTTGTGGCCGCGGGTGCCGGAGCGCGGTCTCCCTGCTTCCTCTCACATGGGCGCCGGAACCGGAAGTGAATCCATCGATTTTAATGCAATTTGAAAAAGTTTTCCAGCCTGACCGATCAAGGAAATTCAGCCAGTTGTACAGTAATTGTGGTCGTTCACTTTTGATCAACTGCCAGATTATCGTACGAAAACCCAATCGGGTTTGATTTCCGAACGATAATCGCAAGGTGTATGGGCACCTTAAAGAAACTGATATCAAAAGAAGACAGTTGAGAATTTCACAACTCTGGCTACAGGAAGTACAATTTAAGCTATTACACCAAGGAGCTGTAACTAACATTATATAGTGCAGAAAAGCAAAATCATTTTGCAGTTCAGGTTTCATATAGGAGTGTACTAGCTGCAAAAGCATGATGGTAAGTACACGTTTTTCAAAATAATGAGCCATTTCTTGTAGGGATGCACCGATGCCATTTTTTCCAGACTGAGTACGAGTAATGATCATTTTCCTCAAGTACTTGCCGATACCAATTACCGATACATTTTTTTTTTTGTGTGTCATGGCAGTTTTTCCAAAACAATACAGACTACTGATTTTAGGACCGTGGTGAAGTGCCAGGGCACAGTCATAGCTGCAAATGCTGTGCCCCTGGTAGTTCTGCCACTGACTCCAAGCTGTAGAGGGACTACAAATCTCGGCAAAATATTATACAGCAATGTAGAATAGCACTGGCTATAGAGGACTACAAATTCCACCAATACTTAATACAGCAATGCAGAATAGCACCAGCTATAGAGGACTACAAATACCAGCAATACATTATGCAGCAGGAATAGTGAATTCAAATTTTCATCAAGCCGAGGTCCGAATCGAGGTCCGAACAGCCACTCAGTCCATTTCTGCACCAGGTCCGCCATTTAGGCTACATTCACACCAGTACCTGCACTGCAAAGCACAGCTGCTGTTTCCCAAGACAC